TTTTTGTTGAATCCAAATCCGGACCCTTTTTAAAAGTGGAGGGTTCAGAGGTCTAGGTGTAAAAAAATTATTTTTCTTGATTTCGTTTATATTGTAATTTATTTCTAAATTGAAACCATTTTTTAAATAAAATTATTCACAAATAAAAAAAAAAATTTATAATTTGATATCGCTTTATATTGTATTTAATATTTAAATTAATACCGTTTTTTAAAAATAAATAATTCCTTGCATAAAATTTTTTTTTTATCTTGTAATCATTTTTTTCTTCGCATTCAAAAATTTCTGGTTTTTATACTTCCATTTTATAAGTAATGTTTTATTATAAATGAAACTTTATTAGAACGATTATTGAGTTTGAAAGTTTCTATATAATATTTTATAGGCACATATGAGTCGTATTATCTGAATAAGATACGAATCAAATAAAGTACTTTACTAGTGTATTGGAAGCCGATTAGATTTAGAAAAATTAACTAGTTCTTTCTAATATAAAATATTTGGAAAATTTCAAGAGCAATTATTTGTAAAACAGCTAAGTAAACGCCTCTATATATTTAGACCCACTATAAGTTCTATTGAGTATTATACAAAAACAGATGGTTAAAGACCATATTAAAAATAAGCAACAATCTATTCTTACAACAACATATTGTAAGCTACTACCATATCTACTGGTTGAATTGATAATAATGAAAAAACCGTTGATTACTTTGAAAAACTTTTAGATAGAGAAAAATAATTAATCAGATAAATAGGAGGAACCACAAATTTCTATTACATCTGTAACCGAAAAGTTCTCACAAGTTAAGAAAATAAATAAGGTTGCAAATATTTTAAAATTCTGGGAAAATAATTCTTTAATATATAAAGAATTACATATCGTTATTGGTGGTGCATAAGCGGCACAAGTAAAATAATTTATAATGTATCATAAATTTAGCTATTTGTTTTAGGTCAGAGTAGATAGAACGTGTATTTTCTTCTATAAAATACATATTATCAGAATTGCTTATATTCTCAAGGATGATATTTTATATGTAAAACATTTAAAATATAAATTCATTTTTAAATTTTTTACTTGTAAATTATGTATTTTATAGTAATCAATAATCATTTATTGAGTCTAGCCTAATATCGGAATTATTTGTTTGTTTAAGTGCAAGTTGAGGCTTGCAAATCTCAAAATTATATAATTTAACTTCAACAATCATATGAACCTCGTGAAATGATCATGCAAACAATGAATGGCGAGATCCCTGTTAAATCATGCATTAGGGCTGATGACGAGCATTTTGAACATAAACTATGAGGAACAACATTCGACTAGAATTAATTTTAAATGTCGATGTTTTCATGTTCTTCAAATTGTAAAATATAATTTTTAAAAAAATAATATATTTTTACATATTGAGAAGTTCGAATTTATTTGTCCAACTTTGAATGTACATAACTTTGGAGCTTGTTGATATAATTTGGTGAAATTTGCAGAAAACATTGAATATTTATCCCTCTCACTATAAAATTTTATTGAATTATTTTTAAAATTGACAGATTTATTGCCAAAACAAAAAGGGTATCAGTTCAATTAGGATACAATGTATATTTAGCACCTTTAATATGAACAAATATTCTAACGATCTTTATATTTGTTAATCTTTTCGGTTTGGGGAAACGGATTGATATTAAGATATCACCTTGATAATATCCCAAAAATTATGTTTATATGCACAATAATATTCTTTTTCAAGTATATTTTAATACATCTGTATTTGTAATTTATGATATAAGAGAATTAATCTAGCTGAGGATTTTATAGTCAATAAATCACAAATAAGGTATGCAAATCCCTTTTGTAATATGGGGCCTGGAAGAAACAATACAAAAGAATTTAAAATTTAGACCTAACTTTTGGTAGTGGTGAGTAAAAATATTTGGGAATACAAGTTAGAGGGTAAGCTAAAATCAGTAATGATATAAGGGATAACTATATTGTGATATAAAAATCAAAGGTAAATATAGCTGTCCACGTGTAAAACACTGAAATGGAATATAAGATGATAATTAGGGTATGAATTAATTCAGTTAATAAAATAACAATATTATAAAATCTATGAAAATCTTATAAACAGATAAAATATCATTGCCAACTATTTATTAGTTGTACCCATAGTTATATTTGAAACTATCAATTTGCATTATCTGCCGTAGAAAAAATTATCCGTTAATAAGATTTTTTTTATAAATTACTTTATTTACTGGTGAATTCCCAATGGCGTCTAGCCTTTACAATTTCAGGGGACTTCATTTTTTTTTAAATTAACTGATTTATTTTAGCTAATATGTTTAAAAATGACTCCTTTTAGCTAATAATTTTAAAATGACCTCTTTTTTGGCTAATTTCCAAAATGTAGCTAATAAATTCAAAATTATCTTCTTTTTTTATATTTAACTAATAATTTCAAATGACATTTTTTTAAAGTTATTTTAAAAATAAAAAATTGTTTTTGATATAGTCTTAATTTTATAATTGACTCTAAAATGTATATTTTATACTCTATGATTTTATATCATATCCTTAGATACCGTTTTTATCCTTTAAATTAATATATGATTATAACAGGCCTATCACCAAAAAACTCAGACATCTTTAAAATTTTCAGTGGCCTTTTCAAATTTTTCAGGAGAGCTCCCGTGTGCACCCTCTTCTAGTGATGCTACAGCTAACACTTCGAATCCATTAAGTACCCTCTTTTGCCTAAAGTCAACTAGATGGTTCCGTACTAGGGTGATGTTATAAAGAATATCGGATATGACCGCGTGATTCCTTTAATATATATTATAAAATAAGTAGGTCGCTTATTGCATTTTAATTAAATTTGGTCGTTGTTTAGCAAATGGCTATATGCTGATAAACGTCATATATCATGACCCTATAAATAGACTAGTTCGACGCCAGCAATTATCTCTAAGCCGGAAAAGCCGCCAATTGACTTGAGCTACGCCGCCAGGTTCAACGATGTTGTTTTTACAGCCGCGCCACGGCATGCATGTAAAATTTTTAAAATGCTATTTAATTATATTTATATAATAAATTATTATTTTTTAAATTTTAAAATTAAAATATAATTATAATGTGAATTGGATTGAAGGTGGACTGACCATAAGACCAAGTGGGCACCTTACCCTAAAATATCACTTAGACATTGCTATTTTAGGTTTTTTTTCCATTATTCATAATAATACGTATGCATTTAAATGAAAGTCAAGTATTGAATAATTTAAATTTTTAAAAAATTTTTATAATTTATTATAGAAATATAATTCAATTAGCTTTAAAATAATATATAGAAATGATAAACAAATTCGCATAATATTTAATGTAATAAAACAAATTTCAGATAATAAAGTTTTTAGATAAACATATTCTACATGGGATCAGACCACAAGAAAGTGAAAATATAATAATGGGAATTTCCTTAGATGATATGAATTGTATCAAAAAATGATAAAATTAGTGACAATTTAGGGAAGGCTATTTCAAGAGAAAACTTAGAAAATGAAAGTTGAAACTTTCCCATAAATCTAAATCCAAGGGAAGAGGTTCTCTAATAACTTTTTATCGTTGTCAAAGACAACCATTAATAAAATTATTAATTATTTTCTAGGGATAAGATTTTAATTTAAAAAAAAAGAAGATAGGTAGCAAAAGACTACCAAGGCTCAAAAATAGGGGAGACAAAGTGGCAAACCGCTAAAAGTGTGCTACAATATAAAATTAATAACGCAAAAATCTTATCAGTAGTTATATCCTTGATTGAAAATCTATGCTATAATTTTTTTGAAAATTTTTGAAATAATTAGGCAGCTCTCATATCTTCAAATTAAAATTTATAATATTCCCAGTAATTCATATAAAACTATAAAAATGGCTTCGAATTTAAAAAAGATTCTTACTTTTAAGATACCAGATAGTATAAGGGTTCAAATGAAATGCCAAAAAAATAGAATAAGTCGAACCTGGAGCAAGTATAGCGATGAATGCAAAGATGCATATACGGAATCCGATTGACCTCTATACTGTTGAGTAATTCGCCCACTGATCAAATTATAAATAGTTTGAACAAATGGTTTTCGGTGAACAAAGAGCTATGTGCCATATTTGTATTCGAAGTATTTTGATAAAATAAATATCAAAGGTATTTTTGGAAAGCCATTGAAGAAAGTTTCACAATTGAAAAATGTATCAGTGACAAATTACGACATAAATTTCACTGTGTGGAGAAATTTAATAGTCTGGTTAAATGAAAATACTGACGATATAATTTGTGATAAAGATATACACAATATAATAACCGACCAAGTGCAATAACAAGGGTAATCCATGCTTAATATGAATCTATGAGATTCTACAGTTTACGCAGAGAGCTTTAGAAAACCGAAGTTTAAAATTTTATCTCAAAGCTTCTTTCAAAAGTGTGAGTGCTTGTCGAATAAACAAAATATGTTCACAATATAAGCAAAAATATAATCAAAAAATTAGTAAGATATTTGAATGTCCAAATATCACAAGATGGATTTATATTATGAATCCATGTTATTGTTAAAATATTTAAGGAAAAATTGCAAGACCTTAATAATTTATATGTTAACATTGAGCTTGTGTGCTTTAACTCTCAGGAACGTAAATTTTATTAAAGTATAGCCATCAATATAATCGTTAATTTTTTTGGAAAATACTACAATATTCGATAATTATAATGATTTAAAAAATATAATGCCCCTCTTCCCTCTAGTGCTCCAGAGCTTCTAATAAAAGATTATAAATATTTCGATGAGCCATTTCTTCTGAATAAAATATACAAATGTTAAAATAGCCGATATTTTTGGCTTAATTTTGAGATGTATGCCGTAAATATAGGCTTTTAGGTTGATGCCGGCTTAAAACTCATTAGCCATCTTGGAGTCGGATTCAAATAAGTGTAAAGAGGAGAGATAACCTTGAGTTCCTTAGGCAGGGATTTGCGCTGGCCGGCCTGATTTTTCTTGAGTTCCCTTTCGGCTTGTATGTTGTAAGCCGTCTGGTTAGCCGTTTCGAAGGCGTGCTGCTCTCGATATTGTTCCCTTTTCAAGCTTTGAAGACGTACTAAATGACGAGTTTCGGCACGGTAAAATGTGTCCCGCTTCTTGAGACGAGATTCGTGCAAGCGTTCCATGTGCGCCTGCTTTTGGTTTAGTTCCTGCAATATAATAATAAATATATAAAATAATAAATTGATTACCGTAGTTATTACAAATTGTCTAGTATCTTTATAGTTTATTTTTAAACGAAAGGAAAATCCATTATCGTAATAATTAAGATCTCATTTTTTTTGTTAAACACAATATTTATCTAAATATTAAATATAATACAACAAATAAACTTCTCTCAACAAATCCCTTTCCAGGGAGTGATACTGAACCAATCGTTTTCGCCTAAATTTTGCCAACTCGAAAGCCACGAGTCTTTGATGGGCAAGGGATAGAGCATCCATCTCGGATATTTGCTGATGTTGAAACGATTGAAGTCGAATAGAATCTAGCTCCTTCCTAAATTTTTCCTTGAAATTTTTCAAGTTCTTCTTCTGCAGAACAGAAAACTCTTTGAAACCTTTCTCTAGTTGGATCTCTAGACGTTTGATTAATTTTTTCTCGTTTGCCAGGTTCGATTTAACCTTTAACAAAAAAAGTTTATTTTATTCGGTCAAAGTAACGAATTTTTTTTACCGATATTGTTTTTAAATACACACTTTAATTTGTCTATAAATTTCAACCTTTTCCCTTCACGGAGTTTAAAATTGGCACAATTCATTTCAAACAATCCCAAAGGCTTTGTAATATTTATCGATTACCAAAAACTTTTATTCTATCCAAAACCAAGTTGTTTAAAAATATTATTTTACCATGCCAACGATTTTGTAATATTGTTCAATAACTTTTTACCCGGTCTAAAAATTAGTTATTTAAAAAATTTCATTTCGACACTATCGCGATTTAAAACTATTGCTAAGATTTGTAATAATCATTTTTACTATCCAGAACTTTTTAGGTCGGTTATATCGATCACTTATATGATATGCCGTTATTTTTGAACGGAAACTCTTTTCATGGCCTAGCCAAGATTTTTTCATGAGGGGGGGGGGGAGGGCAAACCTCTAATTTTTTATGAACACCTAATTGCTTATATCTTATGCTATGTTAAAATAATTAAAATATTTCCATATAACAAAATTTATAATTAAACTTAGATTTTATTTATTATATAAAAATACTTAATCATATATAACATTCATTACTTTAACAATGTATTTTTTTTAATGATTCCTTTATTTATATTAACTAGCATGGAATATAAATCGACATTAAATTAACATTTAAAAATAAACTAAGTAAACAATATAACAAAAATAGGTTTAAAAACATGGGAGGAGGAGGGGAGGGGGCAAAAAATGGCTTTCATTGAGATTCGAGGAAACTACAATTTTTTGGTTAGAGGAAAATTGGGAGACACAAATGAAATCCCAAATAAGGTATTTTCCTCTAAACCAGAGAATGTTTGTGAGCAGAAAATCTCACAATTTTACACTAATGATTTAGCAGACTCATATTTTTTTTATTATAATAAAATCTCCCAAAATCCTACCTTCAGCTTCATCGTTGAGGGGAGTAGCAACGTCTTTTGGCGGCTAATGGAGGTCTAAAAGGTTCCCTATGATCTGGGTCTAGAATAGGATCACCGTCTCCTCGACTGGGTGTAAAAACCAACTTAAAGGAGTTGATGTCAGGAAGGGCATCCTATTGTAAAAACTTTGCTACAAAATTTCCCTATGGTTAAACAAAGCATGGGCGGTGTATAGCCCAAAGTACCCCATGGCCACCTCATCAGCCTACGACAAAAAGAAGGATGGGTGGAACCATGATTCATGAAAATGAAACTTATGATGGCGATAAACGATATGATAATAAGTGGAGAAACCAGTTTACGGGGGATCGAGTAAGGGTCGCGACATGGAATGTTGGAAGTATGACGGGAAGAGCGTGAAAAATGGTCAATGTATTTCATATAAGGAATATATATGTGTGCTGCATACAGGAGACCAGATGGAAAGGAAATGGCGCAAGAATAATTGGCAAGGCTAGTGAAAAGTATAAATTCTTTTGGCAAGGAAGTAATGATGGTAAGGCTGGAGTTGGAGTATTGGTTGCGGAGAAATTGGTAAATAAAGTAGTCGAAGTGAGAAGGCTAGATAACCAGATCGTGGTTATCAAGATGATTATTGGTAGAAAGCTATAGAATATTATCTCGGCATATGTTCCTCAGGCTGGAAGAAGTGAAGAGATAAAGATATATTTTAGGAGAGTCTATTGGGGGTGACATCGAGACTGGCAAATGAAGAGGGAATTAACATGGCTGGTGATCTGAATGAACATGTGGGAGCGAGTAGTGAGGGTTAAAAAGGAGTACATGGAGGATTCAGATACGGCATGAGAAATCTGGATGGGGAGAGGATTTTAGATTTTAGTGATGCTATGGATATATTGTCTGAAATAGAATGTTATAGAAAGAATCAGAGAAGCTGGCGACTTATAAGTCGGGTAGTAACAAAAGTGCAGTGGATTATTTGTTAGGAGATGTGATAGATGTATAGTAAAAAATGTGAAAGTGATATGTATTAATCAGCATTGATTAGTTATAGGAGATCTCACTTTTAAAGCCAGGATCACTAAAAGAAAGTTTGTAACAAACTGGCCTATCCGGTAAATCTGAAAATGGCCATAAAACGGAGAAGAAGAAGATGTAGATATTTTATATAAATCAAAATTTAAAAACTTTATTGTAATAAATGGTATTTTTTAAAAAATATATAATTCAAAAATTACAATAAAATAAATGCTATACTTTCTTTTCCCAAAATCCTACCTCAGCCTTAAAAGGTTTGCGTCTGGGTCTAGAATAGGATGACCGTCTCCACGAAGGGGTTTAAAAACCACCTAAATGGGTAGGATTTAGTTACGGCACGAGAAATCAAGAAGGGGAGAGAATTTTGGTTTGGTGATGCTATGGTAATGATTGTTTACAATACAATTTTAAAGAAAGAATCCCAGAAGCTGGTGATTTACAAGTAGGGTAGTGCTAAAAGTGTGATTATTTGTTGAGATGTAATAGGAGCTAGTAAAAACGTAAAAGTGTTTCCGGGGGGTGGAATGTATTGAGCAGCACAGAGTAGTTATAAGAAATCTCACTTTTAAAGGCGCCAGGATCACTAAAAGAAAGTTTGTGCCAAGAGTGAAGGTTTGGAAATTGAAGAAGGAGAGTTCTAGACGTCAATTCAATATGACATTGGCGAAAAGAGAGGCGGAGGTGGCAAAAACATATGGGTTAAATGACATGTGGGAAGCCATGAAGGAAGCCTGGGTGAAAACCGAGGAGGTATGTGATGGAAAAAAGAGCCGCCTAGAAAGGAGACATGGTAGTGGAATCCGGTAATAGCAAATGCAAACGAGAAAGGATGTGTTTCAAAGAATGGTATAATAGTAAAGAAAATAGTGATAACGATGTTTACAAGGTGGCGAAAAGAAATGCTAAGTAATTAATAGCTAAAGCGCAAGAAGAACAAAAGCAGGAGTTTGCTATAAAAATATAATGAGCGAAAGGAAAGGGAAATGTAGTCCGGGTAGTAAGTAAATGGCAATAAAGGGGCAGGATATGGTAGGTATTAAATGTTTAAAAAATATGGAAGGAAAAATGGGGATTAATTGTGGTGATATTGTGAACACCTGGAAGATCTACATGGAGTTGTTGTGCACAGGTAGAAGGTCCAGAGTGTAAATTTGGCAATTACAATATTAGAGAGTATTAAAAAAGGTGAAAAAAGAAAGGCAGCGGGCTTAACGAGAGTCGCATCAGAAATATTTTAAGGTTCTGATGACTTAGGGATTGAGTTATCAAATTTAGTCAAAGTAATTGTCACAAAAGGAACTATTTCCGAGGATTGGCGAAGAGGTATAATTATTCCAGTATATAAAGGGAAAAGCGATCCTTTAGATTGCGGGTCTAATAGAGCTATTAAACTCTTGGAACATGCTATGAAAGTATTTGTGAGGGTGTTAGAGAAGCGGATAAGGGAACAAACGAAAATTGATGAAATGCAGTTTGGTTTTACACCGGGTAGCATGACAGATGCAATTTTTGTGGTGAGACAGATACAGGAGAAGTATCTTGCAAAGGAAAGGAAACTGTATTATGCGTTCGTTTATTTGGAGAAGGCGTTTGACAGGGTGCCACATGAGGTTACTAGATGGGCTTTGAGAAAATCAGGTGTGGAAGAATGGTTGGTTATGGCTGTTATGGCAATGTATGTGGGAGCACAAACTGTGGTACTGACGGATGACGGTGATAGTGAAAGCTTTAAAGTGAAGGTAGGATTTCATCAGGGATCAGTGCTGAGTCCATTATTATTTGTCTTAGTAATGAATGTGGTGGCTAGATAGACTAGCGAAGGACTTCCATGGGAGCTATTTATGCAGATGACCTTATATTAATGGCAAACAGCGAGGACTGATTTCGGCCGATACCAAATTATTCTTCAATATAATCTAAATTGATGGATTCTATCCTTCATGCACAGAAATTTATAATTGAAAAGTCCGATTTTGCACATTTAAAATATTTTATTGAAAATAATAAAAATATATAGTAAAAATCTCATATAATTTCTATATAATTATATTTTATATATTAATATTTCATAAGATATTAAAAAGATTAAAGTAGCATCTGCTATTCCATTGTGCAAAAAAACATATTTATGATTTATTATTTATGACACGGTTTAAACAATTTCAAATTTAAGAGAGACATAACGCCACAAATCTGAACGATGTTTATCGGTAACTGTTAAGCATCTTCTCCTTTGCTCGGATCATATAGGTAAATGTGAGGTGGCACATCTCCCAAGGTAACTTTTTTTAAATTAGATGGTGTTGGATGACTAGGCTCTGATGATAAGCTGTACATAGAAATCATTTCTGCCAGAAAAACAGCCCTTCTAAAGTTTTTCACAGTCAAACAAGGTCGGACTTTATAAAGTTTATCGCAATTAAAAGATTCGCTTTGAGGGCATAGATAAACGGCCATTCAAACATATATACAGGAATTAGCTCGACTATATATTTATCACAAAAATCGGGCACTATGCTCCAATAATCCTTGTAGGCTGGTATATTGAAAAATATTCATTTTAAAGTTTCATATTTTGGGCTGCATATAAATTAGTTTTAAATGTCAAAAATTCCTAAAGAAAATCAGATACAAATAATTGAATTATTTTTTATGGAGTTTAAGCATCTCCGATATTTTTCGGACCATAAGTTTATTAAAGTCAATAGATGGTGTAGGAATTAATAGAGGATCATTTTTCAAATATGAGAAAGTATATAATGAATTCCCAAGAGACATATTTTATCTTCGAGGCAGAGGATTCATTAATATAATCTGAACTGATATCCTTTCATCATTTTATGGCATTCTGCATAATGGGATTCATGAAACCCATTATAGGATGTATTATATATATAAAAAAATGATATATATATATAAATTAATATATAGCTATCATATATATATAATATTATCTTACCAAATTTAATACTTTTAGAAATATGAATTTTAAAATATCTGTCTGGGAAAAATCTGGAAAAAATACAAAAAAGAATAAAAATCTTAATATGGCGTAAATATATTAAATAAACATCAATTTTATTTTATAAAAAAATTAACGTTTTAAGCATATGTAACAATAAAATAAATCCATTTTAAAGGTGGGTTAAATTTCGTCCTACTATGCAAAATTTTAAAAGAATTGGTTGGTTAATTATGGCCTAGAGTGAATGAAAAGATTAAATAAAGTATGGTAAAGTGTTTGTGTATGTTTTTCTTCAATAATATATATATGAGAGACCCAGGCGCGTACGCAGCGCCCCCCCCCAAAGCCAAAAAATGCAGATGCTGGATTATATTTTTCAAAAAAATATTGTTAATATTAATTTATATTTATTCCTATCTCATATATATATTTAATTACATTTATTTATCATATACATCTAGTTATTTTATCAATTAATTCGATTTCAAGTTTTCCTTGGTGTAATTTACCTATTTATTTTCAAATTTTAGTGGCGTATTATTTATCTAAATTTCTAGTCAAATATATCTCTGAAACTCCTTGTCCAACAGGGAGAAAGAAATTGCAAGCTTGTCCAACGAGATCGAGTCTCCGCCATTAAGCAGTAACAGCTTTTATGGAGTTAGAAGAGCCGATTATTAATGCTATTACTGAAATATCACAATGACTTGAAAGAAATATTTCTTCAGAAGCAAGAAAATTATTAGATTCAATACTTATTGCAATTTTTTTTATCATTAGAATGTATTATTTTATTATATAACTATTTTATGTAATACTTTTCAAAAACATGACATTGACTTGATTAAGAAGATGAGAATGGCGGAGAGCATTTTATTAGAACTCAAGGAAATTAGAGCTAATGTTGATGAAGAATTTCATATTTTATATGTTATTGTTGAGTCAAAAGCAGAGCTATATGTGTTTAATATATGACCTCCTCGACTTACATCAAGCTCATCGTCAAAACTCAGTAGAAGATGTCCCCTCTCTTAGATACATTTGTAACCCAAATAAATGAATGGTTTTTAATTCATCATGCAACACTTACAAATCCGCAGATATTACTTCCACAAAAGCCTTTCCAACCTTTTTCAGATGGTGATAGAAAAAAAAATATTTGTTAGATTTTTGTCATGAAGATGTTAAAATAATGATGCCTTATTAGCTGAATAACTATGATTAAAAGATTAACTATGGTTGATATAGTCCCAAAAAATGTTATGGATGCTTTGCATTATTTCAAACACATTTTAGATTATATTCCCACTGTATTAAATGGTTATATATATATAAAAGCAACTCTTCCCATTAGTAAACTAATGAGAGAACATTCTCTTTTTTAAGAAGAATAACAGAGCCCTGCAGAGGTACAATTTGCATAGCACGGCCCAGATTTTTTTAAAATAAATTATATTTATTTTTGATTTTTATAGCTAATAATGGCGATTTCAAATATTTGGTTTTAAAATATACAGTTCGGCCGGATATTTTTTTAAAAAGATATTCAGGCCCAGCCCGGGTGTTTTTTTTAAAAAAATTTCGGGCCCGGCCTGGGTATGTGTAAAAAGATTAAAATACGGTCCGGCTCGGGGGCCGGGCCTGCAAGTCTCTGAAAAACATATCTATGAAATACAACTTCTGAAAGTAGATTGAATGATTTGGATATTTTGAATTATTTAACGCCAAGCAAGGATAGATAATTGAAAAATTAGCTCAAAACATACAAAATATAATTATTCCTAAGAAACTTTTTGTGTATTAATTTATATTTCCAATACTTTATATATTTTAAAGCCTCAAAAAATTCAAATTTCAATTTTGGATCATTTAAGTGATTCATATCGTTGTTATATTCACTTTATATTTTATAATTCACATTTATTTTATAGTTTTTCAATGCTGGTTTATATATATAATTTTTTTGTAATTCACATTAATTTAAAATTGTGTATTATAAAATTTATTAGTCCTAATAAACTTATGCTTAGTATTTTTAATTAACAATAATATTTCTTAAAAAATTTTATTATCCCCTCCCAGACCAAATTCCTGCGTACGCGCCTGCATGCAGCGGTACCATTTGCACGGCCCAGCCCGGATTTTTTTTAAAAAAATTACTTTTTTCGGTCGGGCCCGGATTTTATATTTTCAGGCCCGGCTTTTTTTAAAAAAAAATTTTCAGGCCCAGCCTGGATTTTTTTAAAATATATTATTTTTATTTTTATAGCTAAATTTAAAATATAAGGCCCAGCCTGGATATTTTTGTTATAAAAAATTTTAGGCCTTGCCCGGATATTTATTTTAAAAAAAAATTCAGGCCCAGCCAAGGTATATTTAAAAAGTTAAAATACGTTGGGCAACGATATATAATATATAAAGCAAAAATATTTACCCGATTCTCCAAAGAGATCCTATGCTCCATTCCTAGTCGGTCCCGCTCCTTGGCATTTTCAGTCTCAAGTATTTTAGACTCTTTGGCCCATTTGAGTTCCATTTCTTTTATTTCAGCTATGGTTTTCGATTCCAATGCGTTCACTGATCGTTGGTGCCGTTTGCGAAAACGTTTATAACCCGCGAATCGTGTCACACTTGGAGGGGATCGATAGTCTCCTTGAATGCCATTTAGATTGGATAAATCGATATTAGAAGAGTCAGGTGTCGTTAAGCGGGTAGAGGAAGTGGAAGTTACTAGGAAAGTCGAGAGAGAGCCAGGCAAATGGAGTCGGGCCTCGCAAGGAGGGTAGTAGGAAGAGCCTGATTGTGAAACGGATGAAAAAAAATGAATTACAATATAAAGAAAATAGCATGTTAAAAATATTGTAGTTTTTTATATTTTATTAAACTTTTGCAGAACTGACAACCTTATAAAAGTGACGTAGCCAATATTATATAGGGGTAGGGGGTAGTTCCAGCAGTAGAAACTTCTGATTACGTTTTTTGTCTAAAATATTTTTTATTTTCACATGGTTATATTTATTTTGCTATTTAAAATATATAACATGTTTTTATCATCATATCAGTGAAGTTGGACAAGAATTGGAAGTTCTAATATCTAAGACAATATTCCGTGCTTTATAAGTGCCTACGAGTTCTTTACCCAGTATAGTTACCAGTATAAAGAAATAAATACATTAGCAACAAAATGTCGACTAACCTTATAGCTTTACGATTCATAGTCATTTGTAGTATCTTTAAGTCTACGTTCAAAAATACAGACTCGGAATAAGGAATGAATTACAATTAAAATATTATATTAATAACTAGAAGATAGCCCGTCAAAAATGACGGGGAATGAGAATTTTCTTCTTACTTTTATGATAGTTGTTACCTCTTATTTGAAAATAATATCCAATTATTATTCCTTTAATCCCTATTCCCTCCCCCCTTCATGCCAGGTTTAATCCATTAAAACTAAGTGTAAATACTATGGTTTGGTAAACTTAAATTTAAAGCTTTTACTTGATAATACCAATATTATTTGATAAATATTACTGATAATTTATACCTAATATTTAATATTAAAAAATTCCCAGGCAAAGTACAAAGCCATAATAATTTTGAAAAATTTTTCCAAGCCCATTGAATATAATAATTTTGGTAGTTGAGAACTGAAATAAAATATTTAAATAATCATAATATTAAAAATACAATCAAAATCAGATTTTCATCGGCCTAGGTTTTTTGATCAGGCCGAGCCCAGGCCTACATAAAAATTTTTTTAGGCCAATGTCTGACTCATAGTTAATAATAAAATAATTCTCAAGCATTCTAGCTCATAATATTTTTGAAAAATTTTCCCCAAGCCCAGTCTAATATAATTTATAAAAATATTTTTCATAACCAGCCCAACCTATAAAAATTTTATAAAAAAATTTTCTCAAGACTGGCCAACCCATAGTAATTTTCAAAATTCTTTCCCAACCCGGGAGATAGGTAAATCTCTAAAAACCATATCTATTTTTTATTCTATTTTAACCCAGCTCACACCCCACCCCTACTTCAGACAAAGAACCCATTAAGACTGAGAATGAATACTATTTTTATAAATATATTTAAATTAGCTTTTACCTGAGGGCCATAGAAGGCGTAAACTAAATTGTATATTGGTTAGGCATTACTTATTAACCTAATTAGGATTTGTGCTTTCAAAAGTTTGGCAAAATTCACGCTTGCTATTTTGCTTATATATATATTAAATAAACTGAAAAAAACAAAAAATATGTGTAAGGATCCTGATACCATAAGATTCAAAAATATTTTGAATTGTAAAAATAGGATAAATTAACATGGGCGAATATTTTAGTGATTATAGAATAGTGGGCAGATATCTATGTATAATATGACAATTTTAAAACAATTATATTTTATTATATATAAAAATTAAAAAAATTTTTACTTTAATTAATTTCAATTATTATTAATTTTTTTAGAGATTTGTGAATTTGATAATTAAATCTAAAAATCAAGGGTGATGTGGTTGATAAAAACTCTGAACCCGAACCGAACCTGAACCCCATTTATAAAATTTTCAAAACCCCGAACCGAACCCAAGAATTTTATTTGATATTATATTTTCAAATTTCCAATTAAATGAAGTGTTAATAAATTTTAAACAACTTAATTCATTTATGCCATTTTTAAATTTATTCTCGATTCCTATTGGAGTGTTAAAAAATTTTAACAATTGAATTAATTTACGCCATATATTTTTAAATTTTTATCTTATTATTCTTAAAGATTATTAATTAGAAGAAAATGGTTAACAAATCAAAGTAAAAATTATTATATTGTTAATTTAAAAAATTCTAAACATCTAACTTAAAAATTGTTAAATGTAGGGCAGTTTTTGTGAACTTATTAAAATGATTTTAAAATTTATATATGCTAATCATTTATTTTTGGTTCAGATTAATTTTTACAAGATATTAATGGAAGTGCATATTATAAATGAAATTATTATAAATATCTCTTTTTTAATTCTGAAATCATTGCTATTTAAAAAAATTGTTCTCTTTTTATAGATTTAAGATTAAAGATAAAGTCATATTTGATAAGCATTTTACCCTTAATACAATAGAAAAAAAATCAATATGTTCATATTGCAAAGTAAAAATGTCTGGTAATCACTTGTCAAATTTAGAAAGACACCTGAAAAGAAATCACAACAATGAATATTTAAATTATTTAAATGAAAAAACCAAATATCAGGAATTGTTATTGGCAAAAAAACCTAAAATTAATATAGAAACCTTTTTTCCAAAAAAGCATATAAGTATAAATATATCATCTAATGATTTGATGAGTTCTATACTAGAACTTGTTACTGTAAATGGCCGGCCTTTATCAATTATTGAAGATTCGGGATTTCAAAGAATTATAAATCCACTCCTATCTGGGCTCAATTTAGTTATAAACAAAGAAAATTTATCCAGAACTATTAATAAAACAGCCCAATCAATTAGAGACAAAATATCGAGAGGTAAGAAGGAAAATTAATAAGTTTAAAAGTTGATGCAGTTCAACGACTAGATAGGTCAATTCTTGGTGTAAATATTCAATTTATAACAAAGTCCATTATAAATTTGAGGACTCTTGGAATTGTAGAGCTGAAAGAGAGAGAGAATATATAAAAGAGAATATATTAAAAACTTTACTAAAATTTAAAATTAATATTGAACAAATATACACAATTACTTCTGATAATGGTTGTAATTTTTTAAGAGCTATAAAGCTCCTGCAACCTGAAACTGATTATGATATAAGGAGTGAATCAGCAGATGAGGAAAATATGGATGTAAATGTATATAAATATGATATTGATGATATACAAAATACTTTTTTATCAACTATTATATCCTATCCGATTTATAGTGTACGGTGTGCAGCTCACACACTTCAGCTGGCACTTCAAGATGTTATAAAATTATCACCTATTGTGGAAACCAATGCAAAAGCTAGGAGCCTAAATTTAAAATTAAGACATCCCACTTACCAAAAGTTATTAAAAAATATGAAACTCCCTAAGCCTGTGTTAGATTGCCACAGATGGCATTCAACCCATGATATGTTAGAAAGGCTGATTTTACTAAAACACAATATCGAAGATTTTTTTTCAGAGCAATCTGATTATTTATTGACTGAAGATTGGAAAGAGATAATAACGATTGTTGAAATTTTAAAACAGCTAAAAATCGCAACCAAACAATTCCAATCTGAACAGTTAACACTGACAGATTTTTATGCAGCATGGTTAAGATGCTGCATCGAACTAGAAAAAAATCCAGGGGCCCCTACAACGGGGGAGGGGGGGTCCGAAGCTGCTTCAGTAAATTTGAGTGGGGGTACTTTTTTTTACATCCATCATGATCATGTGATTTCTGGTTTATAAATGTAACAATAAGACCCCCCCCCCCCACTTAATATTTAATTTAATGTATTGACGGAAATTTTGGTCGATGTTTAGTAAATTTGTTAATTTTAAAATATGCCTAAAAATATTAACCAATATTGACAATAGCAAAATTCCTAGAAATTGGATTACTTATAGTATTAAAATGTATAAAGTTTTTGCTTAACATGTATCTTATTTGATGGTCCAAACGCAAATTCAAAATGGGCATGTGAAGGTCTAGATAAATGGCATAAAAAATTCAAAATGAGATTACATTTAACAGGTGCTTTTCAATCATAGTTGATGGCACATACGATGTTTCGAAATCAGAAGCAATAGCTTTGATAGTTAGATATGTTGAAAATAGTGAGACGCCGAAGCCTGTTGAAAGATTGATTGACATATATTGTACGGGAAATACCACAGGTCTCGATATAAAGCATAATATAATATCCAAACTTGGCTCGATGAATTTACCCCTTGAATATCTAGTTGGGCAAAGTTATGATGGCGCCTCAAACATGAGTGGAAGAATCAATGGTGTGCAAGCCTTGATTAGAGCAGAGGCGCCAAAGGCAGCTTTTATTTGGTGTTATTGTCATCGATTAAATTTAATCGTTGTTCAATTATGCCAATCAATTAAAGAACTTCGAAATGTTCTAGGAATACTAGATGAGATTTATGTCTATTTTAATGGTGTAAAAAGATATGAGGTACTCAAAAAATTTCAGTGTAATGATCTGAAAAAATCGCAACGATTTCTACGCGTCAAGAATACCACTCGGTAATAGTTCCTTATTTATTTAAATTTTAAATGTTTTTTTATTAAGAAGCTGGCTATCTTCATATAAAGCTATTGTAAATTTTTTTCAACTTTATGATGCCTTGAGGGCAGCTTTAACAAATTTAAAGGATCTGAAGATCCTGCCACTTCCACTATGGCTAGTGCTATAGTCTTTAGAATAGAAAAATTTGATTTTATCTTATCACTGTGTTTTGGATAAAATATTGTTGATTTGTACAAATTGCAAACCATTTCGAAGGATATAGGATTTTCAATAAATCAAATTCAATAGGCAAAAGATTGCTTGATTAATTTGAGAAGTATAATATAAATTATTGTCTTAATTATTTTTTAATCTAATAGATAGTAACACTGAATTTTTGGATGTTTTTTCAAAGGCACAAGATGTTAGAAATCTACCTTTTGATTTTGAAAGTACAATCCAAAAAGGAGAGGTATGGTATATATACTTTCATCATCAAATAAATATAGAAATTTTTTTTAGCTTTAAAATAGGTGTGTTTTATGCTGCACTCGATTTAATTATTATGCAGTTTAACGAAAGATTTAATGATGATT